CAAAGGTGACTTCTGTGCTGAATTATTTAACATTAACATAAAGGTTAAAACTTTACTATGGTAAGGACAACAGATTTTCTGAAGATAAAAAGGAAATCAAAACAACCTAGAGAGCATGAGTCAAGGGTTATTTAATCTTTTACTAAGTCAGTTGGGGGTGTGATTTGGAAAGTAGCTGATTATGCTACCATGACCAGGAATCTGGCAAAAAGAGCTAATTGCTGTCTAATGATGCTCATGATGGTGCCAATGCATTGGCAGGTATCACCATTAGGGCATTAGGGTTGGATTAAATACATTCTCCTATGTCAGTGTTATTACCAAGACACATTCAGCCTCAAGATGGGAAACAGTTTCCCAGTGAAGCTTTGCTTATTGAAATCAACTTAAAATTAGATAAGCCAAAGACATCTTTTTCCATCACTTGCTGTCTTTGTGAGGTTTGTATGGACCATTATAGTAGTTTAAATTTCAAAAAGTACTTTGGCTTGTATAGTAATAGAACTCAGAAAAACAACAGCAGGCTGGCCTGTGCCAAACCAGAGCTGGTTATTTTAAAAATAAGATGTTGTGCACTTAATTCATTGAAACTTCCTTGAGAGTTGGAATCGGCTCACCAAGGCAATGGTTTGGTTTGGTTTTGGTTTTCATTTGTGAGTGTGACAATATCTTTACACAAACCAGGGCTTTGAACCTGTTGAGTCTGGTTTGAACGGCTGCTGAGAATTTACATTTACTGAAAACTTGTTAGAAATTTAAATTCTCAGCAGAAAACTTGTTAGAAATGCAAATGCTGACCCTCTACTTTACCAAGTATGATGTCCTTCTCCAGGGGCTGGTCCCTCCTGATAACATATCCAAAGTATAGGAGATGAAGTCTCTCCATCCTTGCTTTTAAAGAGCACTCTAGCTGTACTTCTTCCAAGACAGGTTTGTTTGTTCTTCTGGCAGTCCATGGTATATTCAGTATTCTTGGTGAACACCATCAATTCTTCTTTGGTCTTCCTTATTCACTGTCCAGCTTTCACGTGCATATGAGGTGACTGAAAATACCATGGCTTGGGTCAGGCGCATCTTAGTCCTCAAAGTGACATCTTTGCTTTTTAAACTTTAAAGAGGTCTTTTGCAGCAGATTTGCCCAATTTTGACAAACTGACAGGCACACGGGGTCATGAAGGTTAGTCACCTGGTAATTTTACTAATCAGCTAAACAATAATCATAGCAAAATAAAGACAGATATTTCTAATGACTGCTCAAGATATCGCTGACAATTTTTTGGGGAAATAGGACCATTGGGGTAAAGGAAATTTAAAATGGTCCCTGTATGCAGAAGGCAGCTCACTGAAGGTGATCCTGTCAGTATCATGAATGTGGAGACAAATTTCCTTTGACCTGCTCTGTGCCAGCTCTCTTGTCTCATGCTGCCATAAATCAGGCCTGAAAACGTGACTCAGAGCTAGTCCCAGGACAGAAAACATTTTGTTGTAGACATCAAAAGGCAGTGGACTTCCAGTAAGCTTGCAAATGTTCTGATCTATCTTTGTTCCTGTTTCACCAAGAATTAACAGTGTTGTGTTGACTTTGCTTAAAAACAAAGGATGCCAATCTGTTAATGGTGCTTTTATCTATTTGACTTAAATTTTTAAGGAACTTTAAAACTAAAGGAAATTATCTTTATTCAAGTTAGCAAATATGTGTAACAGCAATCAAATTAAAAATAAACCAAACTTAATAAAATCCAAGTATTATTTTAGATGATCTGAACAGTTGGGCCCTTACAGAACCAAAGAACTAAAGCCTGGCGTTTTAATTAGAAGAAAGACAAGCAATAAATGAGTGATTTCTCAAGGAGAGAGAACAGAAATAAGTCTAGAGTAGATTGACTTTTTAATTAACTCACATATTCTCAAACAATTGCCTGTCCAAAGTTCCTAACTTCTTCCTGAAAAAGCAGTGGACATAAGTACATTTCCTTTCTAGGTCCCACAGGAAGAATATTTAAAATGGCTGATGTGTGTTGTGAATTCTACTTGGAGGGAGAGTCGATCTTGTGAAAAATTTATTTTTATGATGCTTTACCTGATGAATGCTACTTTATCACCAACCTGTACTTGCAATAGAAAGTCTATGTTTTAATATAATATTAGTATCACAGAACAATTTGAAAGCTTAGCTCTTTGCCTCAAGAGTACCTGGGTCCTCGCCTAAATTCTTTCGCTTACTAGCTGTGTGGCTTTAGCCAAGTCAACTTTTGGCTCAGTTTTCTTATCTATAAAATGGGGTCGTCCATGATAGTCCTTAGCATGCCTTGCAAACATAAAGTTTTTGTGATTCCAGAAATTTAGATATAATGCAGAAGAAAATTGAAATCTGTAGAAGATTTCTGAACACTGATATGATGAAAGCTCATATTTTCAGTGTCATTAAGTTATTACATTGACTTTGCAATGATTCTAGGCAATTTGTTAAACTCTCTATTGAGAAAAGCTGAAAGGACATCCCCCCCCCCATCCCCCAGGTTAGATAATTTAATCCATTTCTGAGTAGAAGAGTTACTATTCTTAAGGAAAGCTTCCTTTTTAAATAAATATTTTGATCTTAACTGACAACTTTACACACTACTGTTTAAGACACAGCTAATGCATAAAGTAATGCTCACTTTTATCTGGGTAAGTCCTCTATTATTTTACATACAAAGCCATGGCAAGGAAATAAGATCCATTAGGAGATATTCATGTGACAGAACCAAAGAAAAGCGCTCTGTATTATTACAACAGGCAAAGGCAACTGGGAGCTCAGGCTGAGACATCAGATATGTAAATCAGGTCACTGCCAGATTCTATCAATTGAGTCAACCCAATCTTGGTTGGCTGCGTGTGCTGACTGTCCAGCTGGTGGATCATCTGAGCACATGCTTCTCACCTTCTCTCTTCCACTTTTGCACTTTATATTTCACTTTCATCAGGGTCTCTGGAGACCAAGGAAGTAGATAAAATTCATGTCAACCATTGTTTCTTTCTAGCAACTTAGACCAATTACTTGGCTAAGAGCAAAATGTTGATTTAAATGTGATTTGGAATGTTTCAACCATATGTCTTATTTGTTTTCTCTATAACTACCAATAATTTAAAGCTGACTGTGGAAAATAGTTAGAATAGCATCACAATGGAAGCTGTTATAACCAGTTGCCTTTGAGTCAACTCTGACTCATAGCAAACCCATGTGTGTCAGAGTAGAACTGCACTCCATAAGGTTTTCAATGGTTGATTTTTTTCTGAAGCTGATTGTCAGACTTTTCTTCCAAAACTCGAACCTCCACTCATATGGAGTTATTAAACCCAAAAATCAAACCCACTGCCATCAAGTCAATTCCGACTCATAGCAACCCTATAGGACAGGGTAGAACTGTCCCGTAAGGTTTCCAAGGAGCAGCTGGTGGATTCGAACTGCCAACCTTTTGGTTAGCAGCCAAACTCTTAAACACTACACCACCAGGGCTCCATGGAGTTGTTAGGCACTAACAATTGTGACTCAATGTTCTTTTCTATTTGAATGTTTGTAGTCATAAACTGTTTTATGTCTGGAAGTGATTGTACAAGACCACAGTCTGTTCAACAGCGTCAATTCATGTAAAGCAGGAAAATGTCCTACTCAAGAGCTTTTATGTCTACTTTGGATTCTGCCTTGAACTCCCATCAGAACAGTGAGACAAACAGATGAATGTGGAATAGCCAGGTGAAATCAGAGAACATTTTTTTGAAAGTAGAAGAGTAGCTGGAAATTTAGGAATTGTTAATTTGCCTGTTGGTTGCCTTTTTCCACTCACTTCTTGCATTCCCGAAGGAACCTCTATTCTAGATCTTTCTGACCACAGCTTCTTTACCTGGGGAAGATGATAATCTCCCCCACTTCTTCACATACAGCTTCTTCTATTCTCCATTAGCAGAACAGTTGTCTTATTTCCCCCACTTCACTGAATATATTACTGAATTTTTCACAAATAACGCACCCACATTTATAACATGCAGAGCGCACCTAGGAAAATAAGGCACAAGGGGGTTGCGCAGTTAGCAAAAAAAATGTATGATGTGTGTTATTTGCGTAAAAATATGGTAATTACATACTTCCTGGACATACTTGCTTTCTACCGAAATGTGGAGGACAGGGACAACCATTTCAATGTTGTTGTTTTTAAGCTGAAGAAGCCCTGGTGCCGCAATGGTTAAGTGCTTGACAGCTAACTGAAAGGCTGGCAGTTCGAACTCACCAGCTTCTCTGTGGGAGAAAGATGTGGAAGTCTGCTTCCATAAAGATTTACAGCCTTGGAAACCCTAGGGGACAGTTCTACTCTATCCTGTAGTGTCACTATGAGTCAGAATTGACTCGATGGCAATGAGTTTGGGTTTTTTTTGTTGTTGTTGTTTGGTTTATAAGCTCTCCTGAGTTCCTGGCTCTGACATATGACCCCCTCCTCATTCTTGCTAGCATAGCCCTGCTTGAGGGAGAACCACACCTCTGCCGTCTTTGGACCCCCAAATCCAAGCTGCCAATTTCAATGATGTGTTAAGTTATCATTTAGGTCATCAGTAGATGATTCCCTATACTGTTTCTCATTACTGTTGTTCCAATACCATTTGCCTTGATGTGGCAGTAATCTTTGGAGTTAGGGAATGAGGTATCAGAGTGTTCATGGAGGAAATAATATGATCTGGACTTAAAGGATGAGTATTCGTTTATTTAACATTTATTTATTTGGCACTCATTGTGTGTTAGGTATATCACATATTTGGAGCAATCATAAGGAAGGTAACTCAAGCTGCAATGTTGGAATGGATGATAGTTGGAGCAGAGGTTATCTTTCCCTCCCCCATCTCTTGTGGTTGAGATCATGGATCCCTATTACTGGCAGGATCACATGGGTCTCCCTATATGTCTCATCTTCCCAATGAACCATTTTAAGGATTCTGACAACCACTTTTTGATATTTATTTTGTGACAGATGATTCAAGAGAACCGGTTTCTCATAGAAATGGCAGACACAGTCCATGAAAAGATTTTACAGTGTCAGAAAACAGGTAATTTTTTTTCTATTTTGTTTTAGAAACCATGATGATAATTTTTGGCAGATTTTTTTTTAAAGAGTCTGTTCTTTCTCTTAAAACTCAAATATTTTATACCATAGTTTAAGTATACTTTGAATTACACTAAAGTCTTTGTTGAAATCTAGGTGATAATACACAGGAAAGTAGGGTGGAACCTGAAGATGTTTTGAATGGTGAGAGTTTCTGAATCTACTTCTTTAGTTTGGGGAATCTATTAAAACCTTTTACTATTGGAATGGAAACTATGGTTCCACATTGCCCCTTAAGGCTCACTCCAATTTTATAATTTGAACCATAATCCTATTAATCTTCTAGGCTTTTCCCCATTTACTAGTCCTCCTTTTAGATTTGTTCTTTCTTTAAGGATGTGATGGATCATATATCTGTGAGGGACACCTGTTTATGTTCATCCTCATCCACACCTCTGTGCTTTTATATCTCTTGGATTCATGTGCTCCTTTATCCACACACGATAAAGATTATGATGAGGAAAATGACAACAGAAACCATTTCTAGACATATATGTATATGCAGTACTAAGCAATGCACCATCTTACTTAATCTTCGTAACAACTTTGCTAGATAGTCATTATTATTTCTAACTTACAGATGAGGCATCTGACATTTTGAGTGGTTAACCAATACCCAAGAACCTACATCAACATGTGGTGATGCTGACCTTTGAACCCAGACCAATTTAAAACGGTGATTTGAAGTGACTGACCAGCAGGCTTAGATGTTCCAGTTGGCCGATAGCACAAAAATAATTAACACCAGATACTGACATAATGCTTACTATGTGCCAGGCACTGCTTTAAGAGCTTTACATGAGCTTTATATGTATTCACTCAATCTTCACCATATCCCATAAGGTAAATACTCTCATTATCATCATGTCACTAATGAGGAAACTGAAGCTCAGGGAGTTTCAGCAACTCGCTCAAGCTTGTATAGCTTATAAGTGGAAAAGCTAGAATATAAACCCAGGATGTGAAGTTATACTCTTAACTATATGCTGTGTTCCCCTTCTGTATGAAGTGATAGAGCAGTAGAAAAATGTGGTTTTAGACTGTGCTAATAAAAGTATAGTAACTAGGCAAAGGAGGGTGGTGGTAAGCCCCTACCTTAGGTGGGATGCTTCAAACCCACCTTGAATACGATGCTCACTCCTGGATGCAGGTCCTCCACACTACTCAACTCTAGGAAGCTGTGCAACACAGTGGTTCTGCCAGGATGCCATCCTTAAGAGGAGACTGTCTTAGTCATCTAGTGCTGCTAGAACAGAAATACCACAAGTGGATGGCTTTAACAAAGAGAAGTTTACTTCCTCACTATAAAATAGGCTCGAAGTCCAAATTCAGGGCATCAGCTCCAGGGGAAGGCTTTCTCTCTCCATCAGCCTTCTTCTCATCAGTGATCCCCTGGACAAGTAGCTTCTTCATGCAGGGACCCCAGGTCCAAAGGATGCCCTCTGCTCCTGGCGCTGCTTTCTTGGTGGTATGAGATCCCCCTGTCTCTCTGCTCACTTCTCTCTTTTATATCTCAAGAGATTGCCTCAGGACACAATCCAATCTTGTAGATTGGGTCCTGCCTTACTAACACAACTACCACCCATCCTTCCTCATTAACATCATACAGGCAGGATTTACAACATGTAGGAAGATCACACAATTCCAGGAATCATGGCCCAGCCAAACTGATACACACATTTTTTGGGGGACATAATTCAATCCATGACAGAGACATTACTGAACTGGAGCATGTTAGAATGGGGAATGTTTAATCTAGAGAAGAAAACATTCAAGGCTTTATCTAACATCTTCCATCACATATTTTAAAGATCTGTACTATGGAAAAGAGATTAGAACTTGGTGAGGGTCCAGCCAGCACCAGGGAGTAGAAGTTCCAGGGAGGGAGATTTTGACTTGATATCAGTCATAACTTTTCCAAAGATGGAATGAGCAGTCCAGAACAGAACATGTTTTCCATCCCTGAGATGCTAAAACAAGGCTGAAGAAACAGACAATGGTGGTGTTTTCTACAGCATTCAAGCTTGAATGAATGGTTGAGCTAGAAGTATTTTATATTCATTCTCAAATATGAAACATTAAGATTTTTCCAGGAATGATTTTTTTTTAAATTTTTTATTTTTAATCAACCTTGACTAATTACCTACCAATTTTTGTCTATGTGGCATCCAGTGCCTCTACTGCTAGGCTATATGTTGGTTTATAAGGAAAAGTGAGATATGTGTACTCATGACATATAGTTACCATTCATACATCACATCATTTCACACAAAAAACCAGGAAGAGGACAAACAAAATGGATGTAACCTGTTGGAAGAATTTGCTTCATAATGTCTGATGTCTTTATCAATGTTTAAAATGTAATTTAGCTGAATGGCATTGATTATTGTTGGTTTTCCCCTAAGGACAGACATTTGGTGGGGATGAACATAATGGGAGGGAGAATTCAATTTAGGGATTTAGAAATTATGAGAGAAGGACAGGAATGGGAAACTATATTTTTACTAATAATATTTTCATGATAAAATGCCCATTTTCTGAAATTTATACAAATATTTCTTGTATATTCAAAGGGATGGAATTCCATGAAGAACTTCATAATCTGGGGGCAAAAGAAGGCTTGAAAGGAAGAAAACTCAACAAGGCAACTGAGAGTTTTGCTTGGAACATTACAGTATTGAAGGTACATTAAATATTCAGCTTCCCCCTTTGCCTTTGTTTTCTCCTCCTCATCTCTCCAACATGTAGAGAAGCGTTGGTGGTTAAACATGGTGTTTGGATTTTTAAATATACTGTGGCTTGATTACTGGTTCTTGCTCTGAGCTGGGGAGATGCACATTGGGACGGGTAAGCTTTTCTCCTTAACAGGGCAGTGAGGTTTGCAGTGGAGGCAGAGGGCAGCATGTGTGTGAGACCTAATTCCATTGCCTGGTGTTTGTGCAAGTGTGTTTTTACACCCATGGACACTTCTGCTCAAGACAATATGGCTGTTATTGTTTGTGGAAAGAGTCACAGCAAATGTTGCTGGTATCCAACACAAGTGACTTGGAAGTGACTTAAACTACAGAATAACTGGGGGCATTTAGGATTATCTTAAGACAGTCTCTATAAATACATTGCTTTTTGCAAATAGTCTCAGAAGTCATTTTCTTGAGATTATAGTTTGGCCTCTGCTGTAAATTAAGTTTGGAATTTTGAAGTAAAGATGCCACTTTTATATTTTCTCACATGAAGGGAGAAATGGTTTAGAGAGTTGGACTAATTTACTCTTGGCATGTGATGGGAGAAAAAAAAGAAAACAGCCACAGACAATGTTAATAATTGCTAACATTTAAAGAACACTTATTATGTGCCAGACACTATTTTATGAGGTTTACATGAATTAATAATTTAATAGTCAGAGCAACCCAATACTATTATCATTTTGTCTTCCAGGTGCAAAAACTGAGGCATTGAAAGCTTATGTATATTAACTAAGGTCACCCAGCTGGTAAATGGTGGAGCTGGTGTTTGAACCCAGGCAGTTTGGCTCTAGAGCCTGTGCCTTTAGCCTGCTCTGCAGAGATGCTGTTCACGTTTATGAAAGTACTAGGTGAGCTGTAAAACATATCACATAAGTTTATTAAAAATTCAGTCCACAGATATTTATTAAGCCCCTGCTATGTACCGATCTCTGTGCTAGGCATTAAGGATACGTGGAAAACAAAAGAGACATAGTCCCTGACCTCATGAAGTTAACAGTCTACGGGGGAAGACAGGCATCGTTTGCTTAAGGGGCAGGGAGGAGCTATAGTACTCATATAAAGATGAGCTTATTATAACACTAGAGTACAACAGGCAGGGTGATCCATGGTATAAATATTTTTTGTTCAGCAGAAATTTATGTGGGCTTGTTAATGTGCCAGTTGCTAAAAAAAAAGGTCCTAGGGATACAAATACCAAAAGAGCATTACGTGTGCCTTAGGTCTGGTCTACAAGGGGAGATGGATATATAACTAATAATGTTGTTGTTGTTAGATGCCATCGAATGGCTTCTGACTTATAGTGACCCTGTGTATAACACAGCAAAATGTTGCCTGGTCCTGTGCCATCCTCACAGTCATTGCTATGTTTGAGCCCATTGTTGCAGCCACTGTGTCAATTCATCTCATTGAGGGCCTTCCTCTTTTTCACTGACCCTCTACTTTACCAAGCATGATGTCATTCTCCAGGGGTTAGTCCCTACTGATAACATGTCCAAAGTATGTGAGATGTAGTCTCATCATCCTTGCTTCTAAGGAACATTCTGGCTGTACTTCTTTCAAGACAGATTCGGACATTCCTCTGGCAGTCCATGGTATATTCAATATTCTTTGCCAACACCATAATTCAGAGGCATGAATTCTTCTTCAGTCTTCCTCATTCATTGTTCAGCTTTCGCATGCATATGAAGTGATTGAAAATACCATGGCTTGGTCAGGTGCACCCTAGCCGTTGATTATTCAGCACTTCATATGTGACAAGCACTCACAGCTAAGTTCTTTATATACATTTGTCATTTCCTCCTTGCAATAACTGTGTGGCCTCACAACAACACGTTAACCCTGATATTACTCTCCCCATTTCACAGATGAGGAAATTGAGGCTTGGGGAAGTTTCAGTTTCTGGACTGGAGTCACACTCCTAGTAAATGGCAGAGCTGGGATTTTAACCCGTGCCCATAGTTCTAACCATCACTCTGCCCTGCCTCTGTAAAATTCAATCCAGTGTGTCTGAGTCCCCCTCAGTCCAGGCAGCCTGGTACAGGGGTAAGAGTGCAGGTTCTGTGTGCAGACTGCCTGAGTGTTGTGAGACTTCAGCCAAGTTATTAAATGTCTCTGAGGGTGATAATACCTACGTCCAGGCTTCTGTGAGAATTAGATAATATATACAAAAGTTCTAAGTCACAGTACACAAAACTAGACACTGTATGTGTTAGCTGTTACTTTTTGTTTGTTTGTGTTTTGCTAGGTGAGGATGACTTTTGGAGGAACAGGGTTTATGGTTGTTGTTTCTTTCTTTCTTTGTTAACTTCTGATTTAAGTCCAAAGAGGGGCAGTGGTGGTTTGGTGGTAGAATCTTCATGTTCCGTTTGGGAAACCTGGGTTTGATTTCTGGCCCATGCACCTCATGCACAAGTCCCACCCGTCCGTCAGTGGAGGCTTGCATGTTGCTGTGATATGAAACAGGTTTCAGTGGAGCTTCCAGACTAAGACGGAGTAGGAGGAAGGGCCTGGAGATCTACTTCTGAAAATCAGCCAGTTAAAGCCCCATAGATCCCAAGAGTCCGATCCGCACCTGATCATGGGGATGGTGCAGCACCAGGCAGTGTTTTGCTCCATTGTGCCTGGGGTTGCCAGGAATAAGGGGCTGACTAGATAGCAGCTAACAACCACACAACAAAAACAACGGTTGTCTGAGGTTTGTGTGTTGGTTTGGGTTTAGTTATAGATGCTGATTGCTAGATGTAGCTGAGCAAATACAAGTGCTGGGCAAATTACTCCAAGGCAGGTCTTTTAAAATAGAATTGATCTTTTATTATAGTTCATATACTAGCTTCTGGGTATTTCAGCTTAAGCACTAGGAATTTATAAGAGGAGTGGATATTTCCAGATTTCCACTATTTCCTTTTCCTCCCTATTGAATTTGGTGAGCCTGTTAATCAGGTACCCTTTCCCAAGAGCTAGACAAATGATCCAACCCAAGCTGGGTGACTACTCCCTCCTTGGAGTTCAAATTTCTAGCTAAGAGACAAAGAGATCTCAGTCTGTTGGAGACTGTTAGTTCCAGCGGTGCTACTCTGAGCCGATGCCCCTTTATAAGATTCTTCCTTTAGTTTATATCTTGAATCTGGAGCTATCTTAGTTCCTGCTTGGTTCTCCAGCCTTCCTTTTGATTTTCAGAGCTCCTCGTAGTCTTTCAATACATTCTCCTTTGCTGAAGTCACTACATTGTTTACAGCTAGTTCAATTAGTAATAACCACCCTGGTAAAACATAACCACTGAATTAGTAGGATATGGCAGGGATCACCTATCAAATTCTGCATTGCTTACTGAAAAAATTTCCTTACATTTGGTTTAGACAAGTACTCCCCGTTGTCTGGGGGAGGGGGTATGGGAATCGACGAATATTAGGTGAGTATGTGGATTCAAAGGAGCCCTAGTGATGCAGTGGTTAAAGAGCTTGGCTGATGAATGAAAGGTGGGAAGTTCAAACCCACCAGCTGCTCTGCAGGAGAAAGATGTGGCAGTCTGCTCCCATAAAGATTACAGTCTTGGAGACCCTATGGGGCAGTTCTACTCTGTCCTATAGGGTTGCTATGAGTGAAAATCAGCTCAGTGGCAATGGGTATGTGGATTCATGTATCTAAAACTATTTAATTCCAGTGTAATTTCCAATGAGTAAAAGAGCTGGAAAAAATGAGAAAGATGCCCTCAGGGGAAATGGTGGTGGGTTGGCAGCAGAGAGTGGTAGAAAGGGGCATTGGCTTTAGAGACAAATTGAACTCAGACTGAAAACTAAGTTCTTTTTATGTTTTCTGCAATTCAGCATTACATTGATCTGATACTAATAAATGACAGGGAAGCCAGAGAGAATGATGAATAGTTTTGCAATATAACAAATATGAATTATAATTATAGTGCCCCAATCTTCCAAATCAGTGATTAGAACTTAGAATCTAGCGAGTAGGCTGAAATCAGGATGGTCCTGGAAGCTCCCATATGTGTATTTTTCTTTAATTTATATTCTAGCACCTTGCATATGTCCACAGTAGGAATTTGTGTAGCAGATTTTTGTATTTCCCCACAGTTTTGCCGTATGTCAATACCCAACTATAAGCCATTTTCTTCTCTCTACCTTTTTCTTTCAAAATTGTGTACAAAATTGAGCTCCTTAAATAGCCACCATGTTTGTTTGGGGTAATATAATAATGGATGTCTGAATGACTCAGTCCTAAGTATCTTTTGAAGATAATCGTTGCATGAAGATAGCTCCATCTCATTCCACCCTCACACATTAATAGTTCCTTCCATCTGTTTTTTGTCTCCATGATGTCCTTCAGGAATGAGTTTTCTTTGATTGTTAACATAATATTGAAATCTCACAAGGAGATATTTTTCTGGTTTTTAAGGCTGTCCAGAAAGAGATACTACAATTTCACTTGCATAGCCAACCTATTGTGGTAAATGGTCATTATTTTTGGAAGTGTTTTCCTCGTGACAGTTCTGAAGAGCTTCTCTCGGTAGACAGATATGAATTTGTACTATATCACTGATAGAACACTATTTGCTATGAAGTGGAATTAATTTAAAGTCTTGGACTCCACCCAGAGTGATTTGACTCTGTAAGTACAAAAATAACTTGAAAGGTTATATTTGAAAGGTGGTCAGTTACATACATAAAAATGTAATTAGAATGAACCGTGACAGTAGAGGTTTAGCCAGCCTTCTGAAGATATATTTCTCTAACTTGGCCTGTTAGGTATTTTAAAGAGGTTTCTATTATCTTTACTTCTTTAGGAGCCCTGGTGGCTCAATGGTTAAAAGCTTGGCTGCTAACCGAAAGGTCGGCAGTTCGAATCCACCAGCCACTCCTTGGAAACCCTAGGGGGCACTTGTACTCTATCCTATAGAGTCACTATGAGTCTGAATCAATTCGACGGC